TTTTTGTTGAGATGTCTTAACACTCTAAAATACCATCTTGTAGTGGTAGGGGTGGCCGCAATTATGATCGAAGGGGTACTCCCCCTAGATTCCATAACTCTCCTCGGTATTCTCGATCTCCACCTCCACGCAGCCGTGATTACTACTCTCCGCCTAAGAGAAGGCAGTACTCGAGGTATGCTACGTCCTCTGATACTTACTATATGCGAATGTGATATAATTGATATTTTATGATGATTGAAGTTTGATTTAGATCATTGTGAATGACATACAACCTAGGTTCTAATAACTTAAAGCCTTTCTTTAGGAATCGAAATTCGGGTTTGTGTGTGATCATAGACATCCCAATTCATTTGTCTGAAGAACATGCACGTCTGGTTTATCATGATATCGTTTGGTTCATCTTATAGTCTACTATATGCATGTTGACTAGGAGGTTGACCTGATAGCTAGACAGATCAAGGTGAGAAGAAATTAAGAAGCTTCAGCATTTCCTTTCCTACAGCTAGATTGAACCCGACATTAATAACGATTCTAGTTCAATTTGTCAGCAGTGTCAAAGGAATAGTCTTTGAATCTTGGGAATGTTATCTTTGGCAAAGAAACCTGCTTTATTGATTTCTTTCTTGGTTGGGATTTACTCAATTCCTTTTCGAAATGTTTCAAAATCTTGTCTTCCAAGCTCTTATAAACAAATAAAAAATCTTGTCTTCCAAACTTTTTGTTTCCTTGTCTTCGAAGAGTGTTTGGACAAATTCTTTGTTTGATCCTATCCATGTGTTTAAGAGAACCTTGCTGCAACTAAAAGCCGTACTTAGAACTTCTAAACACGAGAGATTTCACATAAGTACTTGGAGTCCCTTGGTTTAGTAATATGTTCTGAATGCAGTTGGTCATGCTTTATGCCCCGGTAGCAAAGTAACACCAATTCACGATGAGTATTTGTCTCCTTCCTTTGCAGGTCTGTTTCGCCTGAAGAGAAAAGATACAGTCGCGAGAGATCATACTCTCCTCGTGCTGGTCAGGGGAGGTCATACTCGCAATCCCCTCCAAGGGAGCAATCTCCACCATACAATGGGTCAAGGAGCCGCAGTCAGAGTCCGGTTAAGGAGGAGCAGTCTCCACCTTATAATGGGTCAAGGAGCCGCAGCCGAAGTCCAGTCAGGGCACGTTCTCCCGTTAGGGGTCCCAGCAGGAGGCGGAGCCCAAGTCAAAGCCGTAGTAGGAGTCCTGATGCTGTTCATTATTCCAGGAATCCTGACCGTGACGTGTCCCCTAGACACTGAACTCTCCTTGTGTTGATGAATGCTGCAGTTTGAAGAACACATGTGATTTTCTGTCATTTAATTAGATCTCTGGGTATTCTGCAGAGCTAGTAGTGTGACTCATATGGATTATTTTCTAGACTTGTTTCTTCGGCTTGTTTGTACTTTAGTAATACTGATGATTGGATAACATTCTGGAGTTTCTCTTTTTCCATGTGGCATTTGACTGATGTTGGCCATATTCACTGGGTAAATGGCAGTTACTGCCTCACTTTTTCAACTTCAACCATGCTCTTATTTCGTGTGACAATCTGTGTTTGGTTTGACCAAATATTTCACCCAAAACATTTTCTTGGTAAACTCATTTTTCATTTTAGTGATTTCCGAAGTCAGGTCGGAATCCATTGACAGTTGCAACCATTAGACTTATTATTTCTTTGATTTGATTTGTTTTCCATTTTTGAGCTGTGTATAATATAGCAGTATTATTATGAAAGTGGAAATCCGATTTACACGTTTCTCCATTTTCCATCACATGCTCCAACTAACTCGTCCGTACACCTATCCCGCCCTTCATCTATACCTAATACCTCCCAACCCAATCTATCTACCTATAAAAAAAAACGAGCTTCACCTGAGGATTAATATTTAGATTTTTTCCTTCCAAAAAGGTAATTTGATTGGACAAATGTTGCAGATGGCAATTTTTAATATCTAATATAAAATACTGATCAATATAGTTTTACATAATGCATACTTCAATAGTGATTTCTGTTATGATATATAATTTCAAACATAATGTTAGACAGCAGATAAAAATTAAGATTATAAATGATCGAAACTCCCAGTTCATTGCTTCTATTTTTCTCTCTCGTCATCCAACCTTCTAAAGATATGTTTGAGATGTGCTTTGTCTATAAATAATCTAAAAAGATGTGAAATTAATTACCCGATGTCTCGTGTTTTAGAGTTGAATTTTCAAATTGAACTAAAACTTGAGTAAAAAAAAAATTCAAATATGATTTTATATATTTGAAAACTGTTCCAAAATAACTCATGAAAACTCAAAGCCTATAACTTGCTCAGACTCAGTTTAACCATTCACATTGTGATATGATTTTTTCATTAAATTAGTCATTTATTTTAATTTCTTCTTATATTAATGATATATAAGTATATAAAAAAGGCGACATCGTCAAATCAAATACCGTTACGTAAAAATGAGTAGGTGGGAATAATTTTTTTTTATTATCTAAAATATAATTTCATAAACTTTGGACAACAAACATTTGAAGGGTGACGGGTGGTTAAGTTAACGATTGAAAGTTACCTAAGTTATCTGCATCTTTGTCCTTTGCATATATAATATATATGTATCGGACCGGTAAGAGTCAAGAGAGAGAGAGAGAGAGATGGGAAAGAGCATAAGTGAAGTGAGGGTGGAAGATTTGGTAAGAGCAGGAGTAGCAGAGGAGGAAGCAAAATGGTTGATGGGAGAGCTGAATGTTGCAATTGCTAAAGTTGCTGTTAATATTAATGGTGAGTTGGATCAGAAGGAGGTATGGCGTGAAATCACTGCTCGGAAATTACTGAAACCCTCACACCCACATGCTCTGCATCAGCTCCTTTACTACTCTGTCTACCATAACTATGATCAGTCCACTCATGGCCCTCCTCTCTATTGGTTCCCTTCACTGTAAAAATCTCTCTTTCTTCCTCTCTGTCTTTTTTTATGGAATGCTAAGGGCCAGCATTTCTAGAAAACCCTTATCTAGATTTCATATTAAAAAAATTGATCTTTTCTGTATCATAAAAAGAATGATCCTTTTTCTTTTGAAAGTTAAAGGGGAAAATCTTTTCATTAATAAACTGATCTTTTCATAGTCTATGATTATTGGGTTTATGGTAGCTAATTTCTTGGATTAAGAGCTGTAAATTGTTCTCTTTCTGTTGTTGGCATTTTGATTTCATTGACAAAATTTACAGTGATACCTGCATGTGAAGTATTAATAATTGAATTGAAACGGCTCAAAATGGAGCTGAATGTGTGTTTGGGATTGAGACTAGTTGTTTGTTGTACCGTTCGCCAAAAAGTTATACTATATGCTGAATTCTCTTGACTTTTTTTCTATTGACTTCGTTGTATTTTGACTCCCCTTAATAAAAATACTGGTGGTGGAATAGAGATGTGCAAGAAAAAGTGAAAACCAAGAAAGTAGCGTATCTGAAGCTAGTGGAAAGTGTAGACAAGGAGGAGAAGACGGCGAATAGGGAGTATTATAAGTTGGCTAAGAAAGAGGCAAAGCTAGCAGTTACGGCGGCCAAGACTGCAACTTTTAGTCGTTTGTATGAGAAACTCGAGGGCCGAGATGGGTATAACAGGTTGTTCAGGTTAGCCAAGGCGCGAGAAAGGAAGGCGCATGAATTGGACCAAGTGAAGTGCATCAAGAACGAAGAAGGTAGAGTTTTGTTTGATGAGGGGTTTATCCGTCGGAGATGACAGATCTACTTCCATAGTCTCTTGAACGAGGAGTGGGACAGGAGCATTATACTGGGTGATTTGGAACTCTCTGGGAGTCGTTGTGACTTTGGGTATTATAGGCGGATTAGAGTTGATGAAGTTGAGGGGGCTATGCGTAAGATGAGCAGGGGCAAAGCGACTGGGCCAGATGAAATTCCGGTGGAGTTTTGGAAAAGTGCGGGCAAGGCAGACTTGGAGTGGGTCACTAGGTTATTTAATGTCATTTTTAGAACGAAGAAGATGCCCGAAAAGTGAAGGTGGAGCACGATGGTTCCTATATGCAAAAACAAAGGTGATATCCAAAATTGCAATAACTATCGGGGTATCAAGCTGCTTAGCCATACTATGAAAGTCCGGGACAGAATGGTAGAGCTAATGGTAAGGAGGAGTGTGTCTATTTCCGAGAACCAGTTTGGGTTTATGTTGGGGCGTTCGACTACAGAAGCCATCCACCTTTTTAGGAGATTGATGAAGCAGTATAGGGAGAGAAAGAAGGACTTGCATATGGTGTTCATCGACTTAGAAAAGACGTACGATAAAGTTTCGAGAGAGGTTTTTGTGGAGATGTTTGGAGGCTAGAGGTGTACATGTTGCCTACGTTAGGTTGATTAAGGACATGTATGATGGAGTAAAGATCCGAGTGCGGATGGTGGGTGGGGACTCAGACCATTTTTCGGTTATGATGGGATTGCATCAGGGGTCGACACTCAGCCCTTTTTTGTTTGTTCTGGTGATGGACGTATTGACGTGCCACATCCAAGGGGAGGTGCCGTGGTGTATGCTATTTGCAGATGATATTGTATTGATTGACGAGACGCGAGACGGTATGAACGCGCAATTAGAGGTATGGAGACAGACCCTGAAATCTAAAGGTTCCAAGTTGAGCAGGACCAAGACAGAATACTTGGAGTGTAAGTTCAGTGGCGAGACTCAAGGAGGGGAAGGGGAGGTGAGGCTGGACTCGCATGTCATCCCTAGGAGAGAGAGTTTTAAGTACCTTGGGTCTATTATTCAGGGGATGAGGAGATTGATGAAGATGTCACACATCGTATTGGGGTGGGATGGATGAAATGAAGACTCGCTTCTGGTGTTTTGTGTGACAAGAAGGTGCCACCGAAACTTAAGGGTAAGTTCCACAAAGTGGTGGTCAGAGCAACGATGTTGTATGGGGTTGAGTGTTGGCCAGTTAAGATCGCTCATATCCAGAAGATGAAGATAGCAGAGATGAGTATGTTGAGATGGATGTGCGGCCACACCAGGTTAGATAAAATCAGAAATGAGGTTATTCACGACAAGGTGGGTGTGGCCCCTATTGAGGACAAGATGCGGCGGCTTAGGTGGTTTTGTCATGTTAGGAGGAGGAGCACAGATGCCCCGGTGAGAAGGTGTGCGAGGTTGACATTGGAGGGCCTACGGAGAGGTAGAGGTAAGCCAAAGAAGAGGTGAGAAGAGGTGATTAGGCAAGACATGACGCACCTTCAGCTGACCGAGGACATGACCCTTGATAGGAAGGTATGGATATCAAAGATTAGGGTAGTAGAGTAGGTAGTCTAGAGTGTTCATAACAGTAGTATTGGCACGCAGTCTCG